TATTTCTTATCTATCTCGGTGCGTACTTACAAGAAAACTTCAATATTATCACGAATGATGCTTCCGTTTATCGCGATGTAATAACAATATTTCATGTGTTTCTGAGCTCTGTAGTGCACTAKTGCAGATATATAGGTAGTACGCAGTTTATGCGTTGGATTTCTTAGTAAAACTAGAGCTTTGGTGACTTGCAAATTTATTTTTATTCTTTTTTAATGGTTGAACGAAAACTACACAAAAATGAAAACGCGATTCTCGACGTTGGACATAATGTGTGTCGTCAAAGAAATTCAAAAGTAAGTGTTTGGATGTTTCACAATAACTTGTTTTACAAAAGTTTGATCTTTACGTGTTTGTAACTTTAATATTTTTTACTAYWTATTCACTATATTTTATTACGAAAACTAATATATTTAAATATTATGTGCTTAAAATTTATATATGCTTGAGTTTAGGTACTGTATTGAGATTATTCTTTATTCTTTAGTAGTAAGACTATTTTGTCTTCTGAACCTTATAATGTTATAACTTATAAGTGTATAAGCGTAAGTCCTGTAAGTAGTGTCCACTGTATTTATGTTAGAATTCATGTTAGACCCATGGCATAATATATGCCAGGCATAAAATCATAATAAATGCTAGTTTTCGATTAATTTGTAGATCACTATAATTTATTTATTTATTATTATTATTTATAAAATTAATATAAATGGAAAACGCCAAAATGGCTTATAAATTATATATAACAGTAGGTAATTCCTTAATATAATTGCAAAATAAATATTTATAAATTAGAAATAGTAGGTATTTATAATGTATACGAGGTTGTATTTTTCTAAAAGACTGGTTCTGTTAATATAATGTCACAATTTTATTAAACTAGTTGATTGTAAGTTGTTATTATTAGTATTCAATTATACTTTAATTATTAATACATTTTGTCCATGAATGGATTTTTAATTTTTTTTTTTTTCAGATACAAAGGTATGAGATTACAAAGAGTTTATGACATTGATCATAAAACATATTTATTTAAATTTCAACTTAATAACGAAAAGTGTGTGTTGTTATTGGAATCTGGTGTTCGATTACATGTTACTAATTATGAATGGACTAARAATGAAGCACCTAGTAGTTTTAGTATGAAGGTATAATATTTTAACTATATTAACAGCTTATATAAGTATTTTTTAAATTTCTTGCTGCTTACAATTTAATAAACAATAAAAATATTAAAAAATTTTTTTTTTAAATGACTAAATAAATAAATTACATTCTCAAAACGTAATGTTTTTGGCCTAAGCATTATAARCACTTTATTATTCATATTGTAATAAACAATTGTGTTATTCTAAATCATTTAAAAATCGTAATATTGATTGTTATTAATCCCTAGTAACATACTATTATATCTAGATCATTTAAATAGTATTGCATTTTATGTAAATGTTGACTTATCTTATGATGAAAACTCATTAAACTATGTGCTCAGTGGCGGTTTGAGCTTATTTTCCCTCGAAACACGTTTAATATTTTTACACCACCCGTCCTAAAATATAGTTATTAATTATTACTTATTAATGTACATTATCTGCTGAGTACACATACACAACTATAATATTTAAATTACAAACTTGCAAAAATAGTCCAGTCTACCTTTTCCAATCATAAGACCCACCCACCCATTAATATTTTGTGAATTACATGATTCAAATATACCCTTTCGATCCACCACTGTGGATGTGCTTATATATTTTGATTGGTTTAAGAGGTTTTCTAGAACCTTTATTTAAAAAATGATAAATTATTTGTTATAATTAGCTAAGAAAACACTTATCAAACAAACGGTTGGAAAAATTATCACAAATGGGATTTGATCGAATTATTGATCTGCAGTTTGGTGTTGGAGAAGCAGCATACCATGTTATACTAGAATTATATGATAAAGGCAATATTATTTTAGCAGATAAAGATTATATTATGATTAATATTTTACGTCCACACACTGAGGATGAAAAACAGAAGTAAAATATTTATTCGATTTCTCTAATTTTTGGAATGTATTTTGTTGTATATTTTTTATTTACTTGGCATATTTATGTTTAAAATTTTAGATTTTTCGTTAAGGAGGTGTACCCAAATAGCAGACCGAAAAATCGACTTAATCCACCTACGGAAGACTATTTAATTCAAATTCTGAAAACAGCTAAACCTTCAACAAACTTAAAGAAATTTATTTTTTCAAATTTTCCAAATTGTTTAGGTTAGGAATCTGTGGATGATTATTGTCATAATCTCATAATCATTATTATTAGTAGCAATATTAATAGTTTTTATTAAAATATCTGTTATAACTAATTTATATTTTATAGATTATGGAAATTGTTTATTAGAACATATGTTAATAAGTGGCGGTTTTCCAATAAATACAAGAATTGGTATAGAATTCAATATTGATACAGATATTCAAAAGCTCATGAATTGCTTTGATATTGCTGAAAAGTTCTTAGACAATATTACTACATTAAAAGAAGTAAGATATAATTTTAACTTTTTTCAAAATGTTTTTTAGTATATRCTTTCCTATTGAAATGCTCAATAAAACCATTTTAGAGCTATAGTAGCAYACTAGCACCTTCTACTTTTAACACCATTTGCTTTTATTAACTGAATAGTTATTTTAAATGAAAAACCTCTCATAAATAATTGTAATATTTGTTTTATTTATGAATGAAAGCACAGATTTAAATTAAATGTACTTTCTACATAGTGATGAATAATGGTTGGATTTATATTTGTTAAAATTCTTTGAAATATGTTTTATGTCGTTTAAAATATTCAAATATATCATCTTGATATTCTTTTTAAAAGTAATAGGTAAATGATGTTTGGTGTCTTAAAAATCCAAATTTTTTTTAATATTTCTTAGTGTTAAATTTATTAGTTGAATTT